AGGATCAAGAATCTTTTTCTGCTTCGATTTCGATTGCTGACAATGGAGGAGAATTCGGAATTATTGTAATAAACATCACCCGAAGATTTTTCTGTCGATTCTTCTTACTTCAGCTGAAAGAATGATAAATCGTGCAATTTCATAAATCTCAAACAATTTCGGAATTGAAGATCGCATTCAATTAGTTCATCGATTGTGTCCCGGAGCAGTGGAATTGTAAATTCGACTTAAAGGTACACCAAATTCTCAATTTTAATCGGATATCTTATACAAATCGCTGAATTTAGTTCTTCAATTGATTTGTGATTGAATCGTTATGTTGTAAGAAATTCAACAAATTATACAGACAATTTTGAAATCGTCGAATGAAATAATGAATGGCTCTGCCAAATCTTTGTTTGATCTAATCTTTATTACTGTATATTTGCATTGTTTCAGATATAGATTATAAACTATATGATTTGCAATCTTAAACTTTTATCAGATTCCGAAACTGTTATCAAATTAGAATCAAGCTTTATAAATTACATCTCTAATCTGAATATAAAATTATCTGCAGGTTTTTGGTACAGACATGTACATGGAGTAAGAGTAAATCAATCTAATGAAGACAATCTAACCAAGAATTATCAGACGGCATGCAATTAGCTCTGTTGAAACATGACTATAAATGTTAGTACTGCTACCTAACTCATTAAGCTTTTCGAAACATAACTCATTAATTCTTTCAAAACATGTTGATTTGATTAATAATGAAATAAATGTTCAATGAATTAAAAAATTAAGCAGATTAATAGAAAAGTTTATATAACATAAGAGTTTCTATCGAACTCTAAAGAATTAAACAAATTTGAAATGAGTTTGTTTCCAACTCTTATTCAAGAAAAGATTAATGACTTTTCTTCTGTGCTATCGTTTAAGCACTGCTATGATGTTCAAAACCTGCAAATGATAGAAATAATAAAATTTAATTCCTAAATGCATAATTGGTAGTTGTAAACTGCACAAAATCATTAGACTATCTAAAATACAGAAAGAAGTTATAATTAGTGGTGAAAGTTACCTGAATGAAAAGCTATCAAATCTTCTCTTTTTCAGTACTGGCCTAGCGAAGGTTTTGGAAGACTTCTTTAAAAACAACATTCATTGTTTTGGTCTGAGGTTTACCTTTCTTGTCGGTGATAAAAATCTTCAAACCTGATTTTGACGTCACTCTAGATATTGCCACATATAGTTGCCGATGTGAAAAAACCGGCCTAGGCAAATAAAGTCCAACATTCTTTAGTGTCTGTCCTTGACTCTTGTTTATGGTCATGGCAAAAGCTACATATAGGGGAAATTGCTTATGCCTCATTTTGAAAGGCAGTCTTGCATCTGATGGTGTTATGAGCATCCTAGAAATAAGAACAATCTTACCAACTTTATTACCTCTAATAACTCTAGCTTCGATAACTGAATCTGCCATTTGAGTGATCTGTAGTCTTGTCCCATTGCATAAACCTTTGTTAGGATCCATGTTTCTGATCAACATGACCGGACAACCAATTTTAAGGCGCAAACAATGGTTTGGCAATCCAAAAACTCTGATACTGTTTAAATAATCAGGAGAATAAGCTTCATTATTTGTAGAACTTGTATCAGCAGGGTCTATACTGTCAGAGCTTAGGTAGATTCTTTCTTCACCTACAGACAGAAGGAAAACAATTGTAAATAACCAATAAAGCTGTTTTGAAATTAAATTAGCTAACTTAAAAAATAATAACAGGTGTTGATGAAAGTTAACTAACCAATCAACATGTTCAGCATATGCTCATTGATGAAAGTTAACTAACCAATCAACATGTTCAGCATATGCTCATTTATGGAGTTCACATCTTCATTAGTAGGACAAAGAATAGCTCTTCCTTGAAAGAACTTATGATCATTCTCCTCCATAAAAGTATTTCCATAAACAGCTTGTATAATTGATTCGAGCGGATCTTTATCCTTAGTAATAAGAAACTCTTCTGGGATATCAATCAGAGCAATTCCATCATTAGGCTGTGCAATTATCCCGTCCCCAACATCTAATATCCACTTTGAAAATTCCTCGATATCGCGCTTTTCATGCTCACTAATGTTTGAGAGAAGTCTCATGTTCTTTGTTAGCTCCAAAACTTTGCAATGCTCCCATATATAAGATGAATTTAGGGCAGCAAAAACGATTTCCTCCCTACCAGCACCATTGATCACTGGTAATACCTGTCTGAAATCACCTCCAAAAACTATAACCTTCCCACCAAAAGGCTTATCATCTGGATTATTCATAATATCTCTCAAAGTTCTATCCAAAGACTCAAAGCAATGCTTGCTCATCATAGGAGCTTCATCCCAAATAATAAGTTTAGCCTCTGTAACTAACTCAGCAAGATCTGTTCCACGTGAAATGTTACATGTAGACGACTCATTAGGATTTAAAGGAATTCCAAACTTTGAGTGTGCAGTTCGACCGCCATCTAATAGCAGAGCAGCAATGCCGCTAGATGCGACATTTAAAGATATGTCTCCTTTTGATCTAATAGCAGCAGACAATAACTTCCAGAGAAAAGTTTTTCCAGTACCCCCGAAACCGTAAAGAAAAAACACTCCGCCTCTGTCATGTATCACAGCATCCATTATCTCATCATATATCTTCTTTTGCTCTGCAGTCACCTTTGCCAATTATTCATCATGCTTTTCTTGCAAATATGCTCGGTTGTACTTGCGTTCATCCAACAAAAAATGGTTGCATTTTTCCACATCTTCCGACGAAACTTGTGGCATCTGTTTCCATATTGTAAGTGAAGTTCCATTTTTTTGTTAGCAGCCTGGCTATCTCTTGTATAACCTAGATCATCACCCGTATTACAGTATGGGTTAAGTTTTATTTATTACAAAATTTATATAATATATATTTTAGAATAAATTTGTGATATATTATAATAGTAATTGAAAAAATATAATTAGATTTTTGTGAGTCCATATATATAATATTAGAATGAATATTTTTTAAGATATGAAAACAGAAAATAAAATTGTTTTAATAAATTAATATGGTCTGAACAATGAGTTAATTTATATTAACAACCACAAAATGAGATTGCATATAATTCAGTTAGATCAAAAATCAAAATATTATAAATGAATATCTGATCAAGTTTGTGTAGAAATATTCAAACAGTTAGATGTTTTCTATTCAAATTAAATAGAAATATTCAAACAGTTATAAGGATCATAACTCATTTGTTAATATAATATATTATATTTAACCCACTGCCTATTATAAATATTTGTTCTTAAAAAATCAAATTAGAGTATTTATTGATGATATTCTTTAAATATTGATGATATTCTTGAAAAATATCAAGTAAAACTAATTTTATATGTTGCAAATTAAAATATTTAAAAATCTTATTGTAGTATATAAAATAATACATTTCAAAAAATAAATGTATGAAATTGAATATAAATATTCAAATTCTGACCCGTTACTCAGTCGAAATTTTTGTTGAACTTATTTTTGGTTAAAAGAAATAGATTACTCAAATGTGAATTTTTGACCCGTTAAATTTTTTTCTTCATAGATTTAACAATTTCTATTCGTTTTTAAAAATTCAAATCTTGGCATATGCAGAAAAAATTTACTTTTTTTTTGTTATATGGATGATATGATGATTTATTTGTTTCATAAAAATAGAATCATATAAAGATGAGAGATGAAGTATAATGATTAATAACAAATTAATATGATAAGTTAGATATCAAATCTTATATGTTCATTTTGATTGGTCATTCTTTTTTTAAAAGTTAATAATATATTTTCGTTTTTAATAATTAAATTAATTAAATTGCATAAATTAGTATTTGACTTGTTTATCTTTAATGAGCTGAATTAATTTACTCTTTAAATTTTTATCTCTAATGGCATTTTAATGTAATAACTTACAAAGGAGAATGTTATTAAATGATAATTATAAATTGTACTCCCCAAATAATAGTATAGGATTGTTTATAGTTTATAGTTTATAGTTTATATAACATGTTTTCTCTTGTTAAAATACTGCGTGAAAAATATAAAAAATGAAGTTGGTCACTGAGTCCTAGTAGGACCGATAAAGGGCACGAGCATATCTGGAGACTGGAGAGCATCATTTTTCCGGCAATAATTTATTTGTTACATTTAAGAAAGCGAACGTACACAAAGAAAAATTCAACGAAGACATTAAGTTGCACGTTTCTTTTAACACTTTTAATTTCTTTTATTTATTTAAAAGGGTTTAGGTTATACGATGGTTGAGTGTTGTTGTTTAGGATAGGTTGGTTAGATCTTATTGTTTAGGATATCTTCTTAAACCCATTTTAAAACCCATTGACCCGTTTTTGGTTAAATGGATAGTGTGCTAATTGTCTTTAATAACCTTAATGAATTTGTTCTAAAATGAGCTTTTTGTAATGGCATTCTCATGTAATTTTTTACAAAAGAGAAGGTTAGTTAAGGGTTTCTTATAAAGTGTACTCCCCAAATAATAGTATAGGATTCTCTTAAATATTATACTTTTTTAAGTTTGTTCCAAAAATATCTTTATAGTTTTTTTTCAATAATACTACGAATTCAATATTAAAATGAATCAAAATATCTTTTAATAGGTGGAAATAATATCATAAATTGGAAATACGAAATCTAAACATAATATTTTTCTTGATAAATAAAAAAAAACTAAATATAATATTTTATTTTATTTCTAATTTATTTTGGCTGAATAATTTTTAGAGAAAATGTGTTCAAATAACACTTAAAAGTGAGTTAATTACTGAGATAACACCCATCAAAGGGGGTCTTACTCAAATAACACTTTAAAGTTGTCAAAAGTTTTTTAAGCCTCTCTAAAAATTTTATTTACATTTGTGCCATTTTGAATTAAAAAACCCCTCAGAAAAAAAAAAAATTATAAAACCAAGAGCACAACAACCCTAAACCCAAAAATCATTTCTCTCAGGTTTCGACGACAACCGACGGTGGCGACCGTCTCCTCCTCCATAACCAATCCTCACCACCACCACCGTCGCTGTTACGCCACCGCACCAGAGCCCAACCGAAAAGCTAAATCCAATTCTTCTCTCACCAAGCTACTCCCGTCACTACCGCAGCAACACTCACCTTCTCCTGCTCCAGTCTCCGCGACTCATTCTCTCTCTAATCACTTCTCTAACATCGTAAGATGAATTCCAGATGGCTCGTTGGAGTATTACGCTGATTTCGCCTCGAAGCTCGCTGAGGATGGCCGAATTGAGAACGTCGCTCTCATCGCCGAGACCTTGGCTGCAGAGTCAGGAGCTAATGTGGCACGCTTCGCTTCCATGGTTGATTATGATCTCTTATCGAAAGGGATTGCGTCGAATCTACGACAAGGTAAGATTGAGAGCGTTGTTTACACTTTGAAGAGAATTGAGAAGGTAGGGATTGCTCCATTGGACCTCGTCGATGAAACGTCTGTGAAACTAATGAGGAAACAGTTTCTTTCAATGGCTACCTCTTTGCAAGTGGAGAAAGCTATTGACCTAATGGAGATTCTTGCCGGTAAATACTATATCAATCTTGCTGTTACACTGTGACTATGAACTCGTGAATTGATTGGCTGCTTCTTATTTCAGGTCTTGGATTCAAAATCAAAGAGCTGGTGGATCCTTTTGATGTTGTAAAGAGTTGTGTCGACATTTCCAATCCTCAATTAGCTATTAGGTAAGGCTTGTTTACACTCCCCACATAACGATTCAGGTTAATGGTTTTGAAATTCAGAAAGTAACCACAAGATTTCTGAATATAGTGTGCTGATAACGATTTGATGAATATGGAATGCAGATACGCATATCTTTTGCCGCATACAGAGATATTGCTTTGTAGAATTATTCATGGTTTCCGAAAGAAAGGAGATATGGTCTCTGTTATGACAGCATATGAAGCCTGCAAACAGATTTTGGATACTCCTAACATGTATATATGCCGCACTATGATCGATGTTTGTGGCCTGTGTGGGGATTACGTTAAATCGAGGTACATATATGAGGTAATTCCCTGATTATACTGGATGTGAATCATGTGTCTTACTCATTTTTAAGTAAAGAAGAACAGATTTAGAGAACCATGGCATAAATCACTATCCTATATTCTTCCTTACCAAGCTTTCATTGTCTGGATAATGGAAGCATCACGATTCTCGCCCTTTGTACCTCTTATCTACTGATCTAAGTATGGTATGGGTTCTCACAGGCTTAGCGAGAGTCCACGGATTCACTTTTGGTGACAGTTTGGAGCAGAGTAAGATTAACAAGTGGAAAGAATTTGGAGCCAGACTAACAAAGGTAGCAACTATTATTGAATTGATGTTTTAAGTATTAGCCTTCTCTTGTTCTTGATGTGCAAGAGGAAGCAAAGCAATAAGATCTGGTATTTATTACAAAGATGTTTTTCTTTTCTTATCTCTTTCTGCAGCTTTTAAACTTAGAACAGCCGTGGACATTGATTCTTGATGACGAATTAGCGAATTCCTTTATTTCACCAGTAACAGATGATATCAAAGATGATCATCAACTCATATGTAAGTTCCTCAGTGGTTCCTTGACTACAACCTTAAGTTGGATCGAAACAAATATTAGGACCGGGACCGCAGATTTCGTATCCGTTTCATAAACTAAATCTGTTCCTTACATGTTTTTCTCACGGAAGGCTTTTATATACAGTCGTTATAGATCAAGAAGAAACAACATTATTTGATTTCTGCTTTTGGATTTCGTAAACCGCATTATGAAATTGACTTGAATTAGGAGTGAAGGTTCAATGAGGATAGGAGTGTTGGGTTTCAGCTTCAAGTAACAAATGTTGTTGTTGTGTGTTTTTGAACTACAGTTGAAGAGTACGAGAGATCATGGGACCAAAACAAGGAGTTGGGTCTCAACGACATAGATACTTCTTCAGCTGATGCTGCTTATAAATCGCCAGAGCCAACTAAATTACCTTAAACCTGAAAAGATATCTCTATAATCAGAGAATTATGATCTGTATTTTGGGACACGTTATTATTATGTTTATGTTGTATTGTAACAGTTTAGAGCACCTCAAGTAAACTACTTTTCTTTTCTTTTTTTGTCTGAAGTTTTTGAGTTGTTTTTCTTACAAATTTATGTTTTATAGTGCTCTTTTTATGTCAGATTTCGATTTTTTCACACATTGCCACAGTCGTCATATGTATATATTTTGATCATTGATGCCCCTTTATAGTTTGTTAGCTATTGTTGGTTTCTAAAATCTGAATTTAGAAGAGAAAAACTTGGACCAGTTTGCTCAGTGTTTGACGCTATATTCTTTGTTTTCAATACTGTTTGTAATGGAAATTTTCTAAATGTCACATTACTTATTTGGTTTTCAAATCAAAACGTTCAATGAAAAAGAAGCATGGCTTTGCATAACAAAAATGTAAAGATGAACCATGAAGTTGCAAATTTCGTCCGTTGACACCAAGTGTTGACAAAACCAAACGTACATTGTTGTGGAGAATACACTAATACATTGTTATGGGTTTACATTTAGGAAAAGTATGAAACATAAATTGAACGAAGGCAAAAAATGGTAATGCTTTCATCTCATCTCGAGTATGCAAATATTAATTACCGCCACTAAAATTAATGATATACTAGATTTTGTACCTGCGCAAATTTTAATTTAAAATCTCTTATATTAATATAAATTTTTAAGCATAAAATATAATCATTAAATTTAAAAAATAAGTATTCGAGCATAAATATAATAATACAAATTTAAATTATAAATCTATATAAACACTAAACTTATTTTACGAAGTAATATATAACATATATATTGTCGACAATAATGTTTCTTTGACAAATAAATAGTTTGATATAAACCACATGGTAACAAAGATCACTTAAGAAATATGCGGGAAGAATAAACAGTATCGACATTTTAAAAATTAAATCGTAACAAGTGATTTTTAACATTAAAAACTTTAAACTTTAATAATTTATTACATTTTCTATTTTCAAATATAATATATAAATTTTTATAAATTTATTTGATAATAAACTTGTTTTTACACAAATCACTCTTTGTGTAATAAGGAACATTTAGTTCATGATGACCTATATTGATGCAATAAATAGTGAAACTATTATTTCTTGAATATTTTCCTATCAAAACTTTTTAAAAACCGATCTAATGTGAAAATTAATGTGACCAACTAGATTTATATTTTTGATTTCAAGGTTCAACTTCAAAATGACGAAATTTTATTTAGTTCAACTATAAAGGAATCAGGACAACAAGACATCTACATACAACTATGTACAATATCTAGTTGTCAAGGACCCCACAAAAAATAAAATGTTGTAATATAAATTTTTTTAAAGGGTAAAATCGATAATTCATAATGTTATGTTCGCCCTACTTAAATCTAATCGCTAACAATTTCTTCTAAATCTACCACCACATACGTCCAAAAAAACCGCTCAAACGTGCTAGTTGAGTAAACCGTTACTCTGCCTCGTTATGACAGAGTTAAAAAATAACTCTATCATAAGGATTAACTCTGTCATGTTACGACAAACTTATTTCGCAAAATCTGTCAACTAACTCTATATCCCTCATTAAGTCTGCTGCCAGTACATGTTACTCTTCCGCATAACTCAATTTTTTTTTAACTCTGCCACCACATACGTTAAATCTGTCACGGTGCTATTTTAGTAAACGTAAAGTCATCATAATTTGTCATGTAACTCTGGGTTTTTTTTCAACTCTGCCACCACTGTAATTAACTCAATTAAATAACTCTATCGCCTTATTACTCGATCACATAACTTATTCAACCTAATAACTCTAACGTGATAATCTACCAAAACCTATTAACTCTATCGTCACTACAACGATAGACTTTTAATGTGGAAGGAAATTTTCCCTCTTAAAACTCACTTTCTCTCTCTGACGTGGCAGCATCTTTTAATGGCAGTTTTGTAATAACTTTTTTCCTACAACAACAATTCAAGGGTTATTTGGCCATTAATGATCAACAAATAGTACAAACTATATAAGTAATAAACACACTTTTATGTGTTATTTGAGTAACTCACCCTAATTTTTATATAAAAATTTGTGGTATTATTGAAAAATAAACTAGTGATAGATAGTATTTTTAGAACAAAAACTTAAGTGTGTATCAACTAATGTTATTTTTGGAAGGTTATTGTGTGTTATAATTGTCCTTAAAACTTAACTTAGTGCTATTTTAAGATATTTCTCAAAAAACAACCAACAAAGAAAAGAAAAGTCATTGGTATTGGCAACTATGACCAACTTCGTTTATTCAGAGGCAGGTGAGTTCATGTCGAAGTAATTAATGACTCAGCTATTTGACCAGTGGTGCATTTCCAAATGGGGAAACAAAATCCTCTCATAATGAAAATATTTGACAGGTTGTGTATAATTTCTACCGTCATATCTGGTCCGGGAATGATTTATTTGTTATTAATACTATTTAACGTCGACCATTTGGTTCCCGAGTTCCCGAGTATATATAAGATTGCTCGTTTGGGTGCAAGCGCAATGTTATAAGTGTTGTTTTTGCCGTAATAACTTATATGATGCACAACAATTTTTTTATGATATTATTTTGTAAGAAATGTTCCGTAGGAAATAGAAAATGCTAGAAAAATCGTTGGAAATTTTCTACAAAAATAAATTGATAAGAAATTTCTTTAAATATCGAAGGAAGCAGTAGTAGAAAATGGAAGGATTTTTTGTTTATCAATTTCCTACTAAAATTTTCGTAGGAAAAATAATTCTGACCATTTTTCTACCAACAAATAAAAAAAAATCAAAAATTAATTAATAAAATTTGTTTCAATAATTCTATTAATTTACAAAAATTAAATTTAAAAGATAAATATCCTAGAATAACACTGAAACAAGTTTTATTGACAATTATAGCACACTCTCTACAAATTTCTTTTTTTTTTTTGCGCAAAAACTTGTATTCATTCAACTAAGATGGAACCAAGTACAATAAGATCCCAAAGTTTAAAACATAATAAAGCAAGGCATTCTCCAATGCCGTAAACGGATAACTTAAAGAGACCGACGTAGATTCCATGATAGCTTTGAGACAAATGCTAGAAAGCGGTTTGGCACATGTGATATCTCGGTTAGCCGAAGGATTTTTCACGAATGAATCGATGGACGATAAGTTAGTCGATGTCAAAAGATTAGGTGACGTTCACATGAGTAACATTAGTAAGTTTACACAATAATTATTTTACCCTTATCAAATTATGTAGAATAATAAAATTAATTATAATTTGAAATCACGATTATAATACGATCGTTTTGAAGCGTCAATCAAATTTTTATATTAGTTTTTTAATGTGCTATTTTTAGAAATTTGGAAATTGTATGTTAAATTTGATAACAAGACATATTTTTATATTATTTATTGTCTATTATTTTTTTCTTATAATTTCCATTAAAATAAAAATTACAAGGCCTCGAGAAGCCTGTTCTGATCTGGTTAAGATGGTTTCTTCTCCAACCGAATGGCCGGCGTTTTCAGTGTACTTGGAGGAATTTCAGAGCGACAAGGAAGAATTCTCATCATTCTCTTTATCTTTAATTTCTCGCAATACAAATGTAAAAGCAGATCATCTTGCACGAAAAATTCGTACAGAACTGCTTCATATCACATTTGTAAACAACATTCCACATGAAAGGCTTTTTTGAGCTCTAATTAATTTCGGATAAAAAAAAAAAAAAAAAAAGCCTCGAGAAGCCCACACTGCCACATGCCCAACATATTACACTCATATTTTAATATCTCACGTTTAACGTAGCATATTAGTTTATCTGGATATTACTTGATTCGATCCACTAATTTAGCAAAATATTTTAATCTAATAGACTATAAAAATAGTAGGCATGCAGCATAACATGTACATGTATCGCAAAATTGAACCTTGCACCAACTTTCTTTATAGTCTTTCCGTTGGGAAATTTCACTTGTTGGAGACAATAAAAATTAATAACATTTGTTTGTTTTTAGCTATTTAGATCCCGAAAAAGAATTTTTTTTTTTTTTTTAAGGTAAAGTTAGAAAGAAAATATAAAATTTATAAAACTGGATAAATGGGAACTATAAAATTTACATAACATTAATAATGCATGAAATTAGAAGAATAATAATATCTATATATAATTTTTTTTTCTTTCGCTTTTTGAATATTTATCGATTTTAATTTTATATGACAGTTTTTCTTTTTTTGTCAAAAAGTTGTGTTTTATATGATAGTTGATAATAGTAAAACCCTTAAAACCACAATAGTATATTCAGGTAATGATGGGGAGTAGTCGCTGGAGTTTGTCAGTTGGTGTTGGTTTTTGGAGTTCACGTTTTATTATGTTATTTTTGCCGGATTTTTGGAATACTTTTTCATTTTATGGATCGGAAGACGTTTAATTTGAATTAATGGAGAATGTTGGTTATTTCCGGTTAAGTATGAATTACTTGAGTTATAAGTTAGCTCGTAACATGCCTTGTTGTTGAAGTAAAAACCGGGTGTTACAATTTTGGTATCAGAGCACACAATGTATCTTCCAGCTCTCGTATCTCTTTTTCACTCGAGACAACACTCCTACGTCTGCTCAAGGCGTCAGCAACCAAATTAGCCTTTCCTGGATGGTAGGCAATGTCCAAGTCATAATCAGCTACTATATTTGGTTTGCCTGACGGTTTTTTTTTCTTTAAACTAATTAGAAGGATAAGTCCAAGATTGTCATCATATCTTTTGCCTACTTATGAAATGAGTTCGCCCTAGGTTTCTTTTCTCTCTGGCACGAAGCCCGAGAGAGCCATTGAAGTGCATCATCTCTCCTATGGAGCTCCGCCGTTACTCTTCCTCCGTTGGTCTATCTCTTCCATGGAGATCCTTTCTCACCTGAAGACATCGCCTAGTTGGGCTGCCTCCGCCGTCTCTGTTTTCCGGCGAAAATCTCTTTTAACCTCTCTCACTTGTTGTGAAGATCTTATGACATGCTTGTTTAAGCTTAGTCTCATGTCTCCGATGCAGCCAGTTGTGCCTTCGGTGGTCTCCTCCCTTTTGGAACCACTAGATCTGTTCAAGCTTTCTTCGTCTAGGCTTGCTCCGGCGGCTACGCCGGTCATTCACCGAGATGGGATGTTTCCGCCGTCTCTCTTTCCCCAGATCTCGTGGAAGCGCTTCACCGGCGATTCTCCAACCAGTATCTTATTCTCGGGATCCGCCTTTGATTCCCGAAGATTAATCTCCCTTCCCAAGAACTGCTACACCGTCGATTTATCCTCTGGCTCTCCAAAAAGTCGAACGCTTTGGACTCTTCAAGCAAGTATGGTGACTCCATTAACGTCGGCTTCCCTCTCGGTCTCACTGTCCGATGAACTCCTCCCAACCACAATCTCTAAATTGTCAGATGTGGTGGTTAGAGATCTTGTTTTGGCCGAGCATGTTCTCTCCGTTCCACCGTCGTGCCGTAAAGTCGAACCACCTTTTTCACCTCGTTTGAGACTCTCCTCGGCAAACTGGAATGGTTCCCCGACGATCAACGGCCGCCTCCTCTACACTCAAAACGCTATAGCTTTTCCTAGGGTTTCTAGTGATGGACAAAGTTTGGGCTTAGCTGGTAGTAGGCTAGATTATGGATTTGCTGCTAATGGGTCATACATATCAAAAACCCAGAATTGTTTTTGGAAGAGAACATCTTCAAATTCCTCCGTGTGGGAGAGACCATTGTTACATTACTTCGATTTTATGTTGTCAGAGATAAAGAATATGTTGTATCTCTTTCCAAAATTTAGAGCTTGTATAGCTTTTGTTTCTATCTTTGATGAAGATTCTCTTGAACTTATGGGAGGTTATACTCTTATGTTCTCGAATGATTATCCGGTTCTTTTGGTGTCGGTTACTGTCCGGTTGTGGGTTATTGGGACAACAATTAGAAATCGAGTTTTTACATCAGTTTTTGTTCATCCGGTCGTTAAAAACCGAGACTATAGTTGTATAAGTTTGGGCCACAATGGCACGTCCAAAGGAGGTGAATGGTTCTTGAAAGGTGACCCGTATATGATCACCGCAAATCTGGAAAAGAGAAGGACAAACCTCCAACTAAACACTTCGCTTCTCATTTCACTTGTTTCCTCTTTCGTGGAGAGGCTATTCCCCCATTGCCTCTTCCTTGTAAGGGAGTTTTACCAAAAAGTTGTTAGACCTTTGCTATTTGACTGTTCAAAGGCTCTTAAGTTTCAAGAAAGCAGGCCTGAAAGCAGCTCTCTAACATCCTTTCTTCTCTTCGACCATATGAGAGAAAGGATGGCGAGCATTTCATGTGGCCCACGCTTGGGCATTGTGGTTAGTGATTGGGAAAAGGCTTCGGGTCCCCTTTTTCTACTTGTTACGTGTGTTAGGATCCATCTCATACGTGTCGGCAACGGCGTATGGTTCGCGAGAGTTTTCTCTCGTCCTACTTGTGACCACCCTTTTCAGGGATTGGGTGTCTCGGCACTTCAGGCGCAAGTTTGGAACTTCAAAAGCATACGAAACCTTGGTTGTTTCGTATGGCAATGTATCTCAAGGTGGCTGGCTTCATGGCATCGTCAAGCATTTTGTCATACCGAGTGGCTTACCTCTGCGTTGGAACGCGTTATCCCTAGCATCTTTAGATCATTTTATTCCTATTTCAGTTGTATTTTCTTATTTTGTTGTTTATTTATCCGGGTGTTGCGTAATGTTCAAGGTAGAGCAGCCTGTGAGTACTTTTATTCCCATGTAAGTTTATCGGTTTCTGTATGGTTCTCCTTAACGGAGACTCCTTTATCCGTAGCTTAATAAAATGGTGTTTGATGAAAAAAAAAAAGTCCAAGATTGTCGTATCCCTTGTTCATGGATATGGTGATGACGCTGGAATGCTACTGCTAAAATTGTGCGTTGAGTTCGATAACCTGCTCCAACTACAACATCGGTCTCTGTTTAATTAAATCCAATTGGCTGATTGAATATGTTTTCTATTCTTTATATGACTCTCCCGCTAATTACTTGAATCTTTTTTTCCCTTTTCGTGTTGTCAACAAATAAAAGAATAGTTAATTTATTCCACTCTCTCTTTAATTACTAGCATCTCTTTTATATTTCCATATATATATATATATAATTATTTTTAACGCATTTGCTCGAAATTAGCCTCAACAACAAATCTATGGCTATGTTTTCACCGTAAACACCACCTTGTCACAATTTGTAGCATATTTGCTGCAAAATAATGTCGATAAAAACCATAGCAAATTGATTCAACAATATAAGGTTTTTTAGATGTCATATGAACATGATACCATTTTTTTTTTGTCAAAGGGTTTTCATTTATTGTCTTTTTAGGAGCATAGATGGGTACAAACAAATTGGGTTATCTCTACAATAATCCTATACTATTATTTGGGGAGTACACTTTATAAGATGCCCTTAACTAACCTTCCCTTTTGTAAGAATTTACTAAAGAATGCCATTACAAAAATCTTCTTTTAGAACAAATTTCATTCAATTTATTAAGGATAAACAAGTAAAATACTAATTTATGTCATTTAATTAATTTAATTAAATTATAAAACGAAAATCTGTTATTTGTTTTTTTTAAATGACCAATCAAAATGAACATATAAGATTTGATATCTAACTTACCATATTAATTTGTTATTAATCATTAAACTTCACCTCTCATTTTAATATGATTATATTAATATGAAACAAATAAATCATCATATCATCTACATAATAAAAAAAAGTAATTTTTTTTTCTGCATATGCCAAGATTTGAATTTTTAAAAACGCATATAAATTGTTCAATCTATAAAGGAAACAATCAAACGGGTCAAAAATTTAGACTTGAGTAATATATTTCTTTTACACAAAAATAAAGTCAACCAAAATTCCGACTGAGCAACGGGTCAGAATTTTGAATATTTATATTCGATATCATATATTTATTTTTTGAAATGTATAATTTTATATACTACAATAAAAATTTAAATATTTTAATTTGCAACATTTAAAATAAGTTTTACTTGATATTTTTAGAGAATATCATCAATACTTAATAGTTCAAAAAGTTAAAAATTATAAATACTCTAATATGATTATTTTTAAAAATATTTATAATAGGTAGCGGGTTAAATATAATATATTATATGATGAAATGAGTTTTGATCCTTATAACTATTTGAATAGTTATATTTAATTTCATATAATTTGTTTTTTGAAATTCATAATTTTATAAACTGCAAAAAAAATTTAAAGATTTTAATTTGGAATATTTAAAAATAGTGTAGAACATTTAAATATGGTTTGACACCTCTAAATATTTGAAAATTTGATTTCGCAAGCAATTTTAGAATTAACGAATAATAGATTGTGCACGCAATATTTTAAAATGAAATATTGAGATTCTAAAATAAAAATATAGACTCCACGCACGGGTTGATTTTGGTATTATTATATACTAAATATATGTTTATAACATATTCGATTATGCGAATAATTGGTAAATTCCGTAATTATAAATCTCAAACAAATTCTGTAATTAGATTAGCTCAAACAAATCTCTATTTCAACAACCAAAGAATTATAAATTGAAAAAGAATTTTCAATTTTAATAATAGCTAATTTTTTAATTAATTCAAAATAATTTATGTTTTATATGCGATTCATTTATGATATTTAAATTTTTGATCTAACCGAAATATATGCAATCCTATTTTGTGGTTGTTAACGTAAATTAACTCATTGTTCAAAAAATATTACTTTTTAAAAAATAAAATTATTTTCTGTTTTCATATCTTAAATAAAAAATTATCCATAATTGAGTATTATAGAAAAAATTCAATATTTATTCTAATATTGTATATAGAGACTGACAAAAAAATTAATATTTTTTCACTTACTATTATAATATATTAAAACTTAGTTCTAATATATATATTATATAAATTTTGTAATAAATAAAATTTAACCCGTACTTTAGTACGGGTGATGATCTAGTTAATTGAGAAGTAGAAACGCACCATATTGAAAGTTAGGGCATTGGAGGCCTGTGGTTAAAAGTTGGAATGATTTGTCCTAAACACCCTTAATGAATTGTTCTTCTCGAAATTTCCCCTTCTTCGTAATTAGGGGTATATAAGTCTAATCGTGTGTTGATCTCTATAATAATGTCCTAAACACCCTCAATTCGAAATTTTTTGTTCTTAATTGTTAAGGGTATATAAGTCTAATCGTGTTTTGAGATGATTAGTCTTAATCACCCTTAATTTTTTTTTATTTTATAGTGTAATCGTTGGGGATATGGATGTCATAATGTCTCGACTTTAATGATTATGGAATCTTAGCTTAAATTTATTTGTTAAATTTTTGGATAATTCTATATCTTAGTAGTTAATATTCGTTTTTGTTAGTTTTCTGATTTAGTTTCTAATTAAAAAAGTTAAATTTCTTAAGATAATATCGGAGGTTTGCCCTAATCTTAAAGCTATATATATTGTTGATCGGCCAGAGAATTAGGTATTATTTTTTCTGTGCCCATTAGATAGTTTTCACTGTTATGGTTTTTTTATACATCTACGATTCTGATGAATCAAATTGTTTGTCATGCAAATATTGTTTTTATTCCCCTTTAGACGTCGTGTGCATATTGTTTGTGTTGTTTGTTTTATTTTTGCATTAGTTCGTTGATTTATTGTTTTGCTGATTTGGTTTTTTTGGTGTGTGTTTCAGTTTTGTATAACGTGGGAGGTTCCATCGACAAAGCTCTCCAACGAAGGTGGTGTTGACTAGCAAAGAACGAGGTTTGGAAAGGTACTTCTATAGATTTGGTTTGTATATTTTACATATATTTACCTATTTTAATGTTTGTGTTTCTTTGTGTTATATTATATATTTTTATATGCGATTTTATTGCGTATTAGTTGTCCCTGCATTCATAATTTTTTTCAGCATATATTTTTGATTTTTATTATGTTTTTTTTACAATGAGATGTGGGCATACGATCATCAAAGCGTGTTTGTTTCATCGTACCAAAAGTCAGTCTCTAATCTAAACTATATTTTGTATTTTATCATGAATTTACATGCTTTTCTTTTTGACTGCTAGAAACCCTAACGTATATTTACTTTCTAAAACACAGAAATCTGTTTTGAAGCTCACAAAAAACAGAGGTTGCTCGCTCTAATGTCATTATCGTGCAAGTTATCGTCTCTGGTGGCTCTCTAAATCGACATCGATGTCGAGATTGCAAAGGTATGTCTATCGTGATAAAATTGTAAAATAGAGAGTTTCTTATGACTTTATCGTGCTGATTTGGTGTTTTTTTTACTAGATCTTCGATTTGGATATATGTTCGTTTATGCTAATTTTTTGTTTTGATTTGGCAAATTTAGATCTGCTTCGATTGCAGTACGAAGGATCCGACTTGGGTATATAGGTGTTTTACCTGGAGGAAAGGTAATTCCGACGAATAGACAGACAAGAAGAGCACTGAGTAATATAAACAAGAACATCATCGGAGCTCCTGTTTATCCTTCTGCTGTCAACAAGAGACCATTCACCAAGTAATTACTTATTACCTTCTTCTTTGAATGATCATTTATTTGTAAAGTTGTATACACTTATCTTACGAACCAATTGTTTTCTCAGGAAGAATGGGATATGTAACAAGAAGATTCCACTCCATTGCATCGTCCGGTTACTAGGTCGGTAAATTTCAATTGATTTCTGCCTCAATGTCACAATTGTATTATGAGTTTGGTTAGGAGCTCTAATTCTTGATTTAACTTCAGGAAATTTGCTGCTCAGTTAGCTGAGAACAATCCCCAAATCCACAAGGAGGTAACTTTATATATATTGACACAAATTGAATTTGGTAATTAAAAACATGACATGGTTTAGGTTGTCTAATCTCAAGTGTTTTTTTTTTGTGGTTAGGAAACCAAGAAACCAGAGTTGATTTCGAACGAAACATTAGATAGAATCATAACAGATGTGGAAGAAGGAGACTTTAATGAACCAATGTTTGTTCAACACACTGAAGCCATGCTTGAAGAGATTGACCGAATGGTAAGGTTAACAATTTAAGCCACTCTTTTTTTTGTTGGTTACTCGGATGAAGATATATGTTGTCTTTTATCTGCAGGAAGGAATTGAAATGGAAGATTCAAATGATATTGATGTTGAAGTAGAAGAGTCTGTGATGGATATAGACAGCTGTGACAAGAACAATCCTCTAGCTGTAGTTGAATACATTGATGACATATATTGCTTCTACAAGAAAAATATTGGTTACATATGGGATTTTCATGTTCTTGCAAGCATTGGATCAGATTCTAAAGGTAAAAATCATTTATGCTTTTTCTATTTCTTTTTTTTCGTGGGAGTTAATAGAGAGAGAGAAGAAGAAGAGCATTGAGGATTTTAATGTAGAAAGATATTTGTAGAAGACATCTTTCAAGAGAAAGGATAGGATGTGTTTGGGTGTTTATGAGCATGTTTGACTTCAGACATGGTGGATCTAACCAGAAGCTTTTGATGGATAAGAAACGTGGAAGCAAAAGAATCATAGGTTTTTCTTCTTTTCTCTTTTGGGTATTGGAATGTGTCTGAACCAAAAAAGATTCTCACGTTGTTGGTTTGATGAAACAATGCAGGTAATAATGGAATGTTTGAGACTAAGGTTGAGAAGCAGCTTACTTGTGACTGTGAGGTCTTTGTTAAGTTTTTGTT